CGAATGAGACAAGGCAACAGTCTGGAGACACTCGGGGGGAGCGGGGGGGATGACAAAGGAACTAAGGCCTCCATCTGACTCTCGTGAGAACTCAGACTCAGCCTCCTCTGGGGTGATGCTTCCACACTTGACGTCACCCGTACCTGCAGCCCCTTCGGCTCAGGGCTGCTTGAGCGTGTCTTAAGAGAATGTACGAGAAGGAGACTCGTTTTTCCCGCGTCATCCGTGATCGACAAGGAGGTCTCAAGGCAAACGCTCTGCCATCAAGCCGATTCTAACTCACAGGGACCCTACGGAACGGAGGAGGCCCGCCCCTGTAGGTCTCCAAGACTTTAACTCTTTCCTGGGAGTCGAAAGCCTTCTTGTCCCCCAAGGAGCAGCTGGTGGATTTGAACTGTGGACCCTCTGGTTAGTAGCCAGTGTGTAAGCCACTGTCACCGTCGCTCCTCGTGCACGATCTATATGTTCAGGCATGCAAACATACACGCAGACCTATCAATAAAAAGAACACTCATCCCTCACTTATCGACCGGGTTGGGTCCCAAAGACCAGATTGTCATATAAACATCGGCATTCCTTGAAAATGGAAGAGGACTGCATCAGGCCACAAACCAGAGTGGCTGCATCATTCCGTAGCTTCCGAATTACGTCATCGCACAACTGTCAAATTGACCTGCGTGCACACCTGTCAGACCCGAGATGCCTGGTCCAGCCAGGCTGACACAGAAGCTTCACCATTCCAGCCAGGGTTCCTCGCCTAACCTCGCCCCTCGCCCCCCTCAGACGGTGGTCTCTGATGTGCACAGCAGCCAGCTAGTCGGCTTGCTCGTGATGGTTGTGAATGTGAAGTGTCGGGGAACGGGAGGGCTGATAATTGAGGAGTCAGTGCGCACACATGCAGCGGAGGGGGGCTTTACCTTGACCTGGAAGACCAGCTCATTCCCGCCGACACTGAACTGAGATTCAAATAGGATGGTGAATTTCTCTTCGGTCACCGACTCTGCTCCCCGGCGGTCAGACCGCTTGATCCGTTTCAGGGACTGCAGAGACCACAAAGCCGGGATGAGCCCTTCCGACTCTCAGGGAGCACCCACCCTTCCCCCTCTCGCAGTCTCACCATGTTTCTGAAGTGGGCGCTGAGGGTGCCCGTGGCTTGGTGGTACTCCATCACGCAGCAGTTGTTCAAGATCTCCCCGCTGTAGTCACTGCAAGTCAGAGAGAAAGCCCCTCACATCTGCCCCAGGGGCTGGGCCGGGGCGGGCTCGGGGATTAAATGTGGGGTGGGAGAAGATAAACCAGGTCATGGAGAACTTAGGTCCTTTAGATGAAACATTAGCCACATCAAATCCCCAAGCATTTTCATGCATATAGCCCTTGTAGGTGAAATGAAATCTTAGCTTCTCAGAAGAATCCCATAGCTTCGCTCCCTGAAAGCTATGAGAAGCTGGGCCATGGGAATGGCAGAGGCCACACGGCTGCCCACCAGGCAGGCCTCTGGGCTTCCCTGCAGGGACTCGAGAGGGGCAGATGCGAGGCCGGCGCAGCTCAATTACTTGCGGGTGTTCTCGTTCTTGAGCAGAGACTTGGCCTGCTGCTCGCTGATGATGGTGGCCTTCACCTGGGGCGGGTTCATGTGCACGTTCAGCTTCCCGCCCACCAGCAGGCGCACGGTGGCCGCAAACTTGGTCTGGGTCTTCAGGACCTGAGGGGGCTGCTTCTCGATGATGAACGTACTGCGGGGGACACAAGGCCCGGTCACACCTTGAGAGGCCAGCTCAGGGACAGGGCTTCAGGGCCTGGGGGGCCTAGAGGGAGAGGAGGATTGGAGAGGGGGCAGGGAAGCCCTCTGCAGCGGCGTGATGGCAAGGGCAGGCCTGTAGCACCCAGCAGAGAAGGTGGCTCATCAGCCATAGCAACGGGAGGCAGAGAGGGACATGAGGAGGGACATGGGGAGGGACAGTGAGGACCCCCGTCTGGGAAAGCACTGATGGATGCCCCCTCAGGCCACCCACTCGGGGGCTGCAGCCTCTCTGCACGGGGCCTAAGGGCGTGTTACCTGGTCACCAGGGCTGAGATGATGTCCGTGATGGTGGCGTTGACCTCGGCCAGCATCTCCTCCACGGGGCCCGGGATGGGCAGCTGCTGGCACAGGTGCTCAGCTCTGCGGATCTGCTGCCGGTTCTGCCAGATGATCTCGGCCAGCTTCTCGCACCTGCCGGGAGGACGCTGCCTTCACGTCCGCCCCGGGCCAGAGGCCCCGGGCTCCCAGGCTGC